AAAGTTGTGCCATTGCCAAATTCCCGGTTGCGCATGCCAGATGTAACGGCGTTCGCAGATCTTCCGTGCTGACCGAAATATTAATGTCTTCGTAATTACAGCGAGCCAAACATAATGTAAACGCTCTCATGTCTCCCCTGTATATTCGAAGATAATAAGATCGCGAAACTATAGCGACACTTAATTGATTTCTACATTCAGTTAGACAAACATGAGGTACTTTACCGACAAACCGAATCGATGAGTAATTTTCCTAAAGAGATGTTCGGGTTGATCGGTGGCAGAAAGAGTTTATCTTCGTACTTCCATCTGATCCACTGCTCCTTTTCTTCCCTAGACGAATCCGAGACAGGTTTTTGTTTTCCGTTCAAACAATACTCCCAGATACTATTGGCTATATCGTTACCGAGAGCCAGCATGACGCTTAGGTGACCTGCGCTAAAGCCGTCGTTAAAGATGTATCATTAAATAACAAACACAAAACAAATACAAATGAAATGTATTAGTAATACGCGTGAAACTTTGTCTCATACTTACGACCAGTCGTCCAAATCCAAAGACCGTACCTTAGATATATGCGAACCTAAATTTCTGTGAATACCAGAGCATTCGATGCACATCAAAACACCCAGATTAAGGCTGGCCCAATCGGGATCTGAAATAAAAATATGTAATCGTAGAGTATACACACATTATTAAATGTGCGGCAATTAATAAAATAAAAATCCACTCACTCGATGCACCACAGTCAACGCATGTATCATTCCCCGAAACTTTGTTTTTTATGCAATGCATCTTGAAAGCATCAGTTTCGTTTTTTTTATCACCATCACTATTTTGTAAGCTCGATAGTATTTGCTGTTCTATTGCGGTAATCCAGCTGTCCCTCTCTTCGGCATTGTTTGCTTCGAAATGCCAAGTTTTGTTCTCCAAAGAAATGATGGAAAATTCGAAACTATCTTCTAGAAAAAGAAAAGATATGCATATTAAAAATGAGAAAAATACAACCGTTAATTATATACATGAAATCTGCAAAGTGCAATACCTTGAGCATTGTATGATTTGGAACCTTTTGGTGTTTTACCAGGTACTTTCACAGTAACATATTGCAAAAGTATTTCTTTGCCATTGGTATCGTTCATGTAATCCTAAAAATGTTTCCTTATACTGAACATATTGTATAAATGCATAAAGTGATAAAACAGACAACTATTGCATAACTGATAATTACATGTAAGCTCGAATGATAAGTCAAACGTCCATCCTCTAATAACGTTACGTATTTCTTCTTCCATTCTTTCAACGACTTGCTGCTTCGTTTGAATAGATAACCTTGTTTTACTGGTATTTCTCTACCAACACCCATTTCGCCCATATATTTCTCCTTCTTGGAAGGTGTAAATATGTTCGATTTTCTTCTAAATTTTCTGGGAAACAAAATATTATAATAGTATCAATGTAAAAAAATGAAGTAGAAAGAAGTATTTTTAAAAAAGTTATTTTTAAAATATTCAAACCTGATAGTTGTTGGTGTCAAGATTGACGAACGCAGTTCTCCATGTTGATTTTGTACGTTATGAAAATTATCATTCAGCAATGAGGAATCGTTTGTCATAGAACTATTGTGAATGGATCGACAATCCTCGTCTTTTTCTGAAACCTGTTGAGAAATTTACTTTAAACTTATATAATCTGTTTGATTTACTAGAGGACATAACGAATAAACTGACTCTTACGTTTACTTTCAATGAATTTGTGGTCTCAGTATCTTTGTTATGAAGTTGCACGTTTTTAATAATAGCAGGGACTGCAAATTTAACTTCATTCTCCGTAGCATGTTGACACACATCGCATGAAAAATTCTTCATCGAGATGTTCTGTATAATTTTTTGACACACTGAAATTTTTCACTTGTTAATACAAACGTTAGAGATAATTTAAAGAAACATGTTTTTGTTTCAACTTATAAAAAGTTTGTGTGTTTAGTTCCTGCATAAACATCCTTACCATCTTGAAATACTCTCTCAACGTTTAAACCATAAATAGCACATGTTTCATAATAAGGACATCTTAAATCACAAGCCAGTTTCCGTGGTCTGACATCTTTTATGACACGAGGATTGCTGTCGTTAATCGAATCTACAAAAAATCAATAAATCAATAATTTAGAAATATAAATGTGAGGAATAAAAAAATTGACAATTTATTATCTGATTACAGCATACCTTGTACGCCTACAAGTATTTTTGGTACTTCTGACATATTCCGAAAAGAACACATTCTATTGTAAAAACTGCAAACTATAGAGAAACTCTCTTCATTTTCTAAGCTGAATACAAGTAATAGAGCATCTATCCAAGCTGAAAACTGAAATGGACATATCCATTATTATTTGATATAATAATAGGTATTGGCAAATAACGCGATATATGAAACAAAATGGTTTTGTTGCATACTTGAGCCTCTGGCACGCCACCCTCGTCCCTTATCAAGAGAAGGTAACTCTGATCATTTATGAAGATTTCCTTTTTAAAACGACCACCTTCCGGTGATTCTTCATGCATGAAGGATCCTGTAAGATACCTATGAACCAAAGCTGATTTTCCTGAGTCTGAGGAACCAATGATCCCCAGATGCAATTCTGGAACATCTCTTGCTAATGTCCATTCATGGCTGTTGACGAAGGAATCTAAAAGAACGTGAGCTTACATTGGTCGCGTTCAGCAGACTCAACTATTGCAGAGTGAATACATGAGCACTTGCTGTTATTGATGTATTCTTTTACACATAGATCATCCAATAGCAAAGATCTGCTGAACACGATCATTGGCTGCATTCAGCAGAAAAAATTGATCAGTGAACACTTTTTTTAATACAATTGGCTGCATACAGCAGAGAAAACAGTTTTCAACTGTTCTTTAATTATTGGTATTGCCCTTATTTCCTCATTGGATCTAAATGTATAAATCAATCATATTAAATAATTTTACAACAGTTGCAAAGCCACTTTTTCTATTGAATACAGCCATTGATTCCTTAGATCCAATAAATTAAAGACAAGAATAAATCATATTGAAAAATTACACAGTGCTCTTTGATCAGTTTTCTCTGCTTAATGCAACTATTGTTATGTATGATACAAGTTTAACATAACATTATACATACTATTTAATCATATAAGATGTTATTATTATACATAAACATTGCAAATACAGCAAATATCTTCCTCTACTGAGATGTACATAATTATAAGGTATATACATGTAAAATATATATATAATTATAAAGCATACCCTCTATTGCTACAACATGTTCGCGAATTTGTTTAGCGATGTGCGCGTCAGGTACGACCTCTATCAAATCATAAATGGCATATATCGACGGATGAACGCTTTCAAAACGTTGTATTTCCTGTCTGATAGCAAGAGAATGATCGTGTCCACTCTGGCCAGTTGTCATTTTTTTTCGACGTCCGATTTTCTTTGGCGTCGATCTATCACATTAACGGCATCGCTCCGAAGTGTATCGTGCGGGCATCACCGGGAGCAGAATGATTTTCGCGAAGCTTAAAGTTGCTGCTGGCTCATATGTCAAATCTCAGTATTTATAAACATTATCGGTCGGGATCGGCGATGTTGGTTATGTGACACATCCGCGATTGCGAAGAGAAACGCGTAGTTCTCATGAAAGTTGAACTGCGTATTCTCAGTACTTTTAACAATATGGCTGATTCTTCTTCTTGCTGTTATTGGCCCCGCAGCCTACGCAGGCTGGTACTGGGCCATTGAGGTCTACGTAAATTGAGCGAATCGTAAAGCGGGGAGCACAGACTCTTGCATAACGCATAACACATGAGGCATAAGAAATTGAACCAACCAGAGTTCTCTATTACATGGAAGGGAAAGAAACGGAGAACTTCGATTGGTACATATTCTTATGCATTACGTGTTATGCGTTATGCAAGAGTTTGTGCTCCCCGCTTATATCCACACAACTTGCATATTGCATAGCCGCATAAACATATACATAAAGAAAATTATCCAATTGCAGTTCTCTTTTAAAGTCGTACATAAAATGTGATTGGATAATTTTCTTTATGCATACGTTTATGCGGCTATGCAAGTTTGTGTGGATATACCTTAATTGGGAATGCGATGCATCGGCCACCTCGAACCGGACGAGTAATAAAATAAAGGATGATACAATCAAAATGGTGAGGCGCCCCTTCAAGGCCCGTCTACAATACACGGAGTAAGAAGTAAGAG